TCAATTATACTTATAACTAATCCATACCTATTCTCATGGTTATGAAATTAGCTACAAGTTCATTTCTTCAGTGAAATTACATGAAATGAATCACTAAAAACCAACATAGGTGCACCTCTACTTTCGTGAGTGTACTCCCTATGTTTAGCACTTCTTGAACTAATGTTAAATCTCAATTTTCATTGCAGAAATAACACCTTAGATAATCAGAATTAATGGTACCAGATTAATCATGATTTAAAGAGCCAAAGTGCTAAATAACTTGCTCAAAACATAGCAGTTAAATAGCCAAATGATAAACACTAACAATCATAGAAAGTTCAACCAAACCCAAGGCATAAACTTTAGAAACACATAATGAACACAAAATCCAGAACTTGTATATTAACTAAACTTGGAATCAAATACAAAAGATAAAGAGTTTGGAAGGAATACAACCCTTGTCACATGAGCTTTCTTCCTTGCCTTCTTCATCCTCCATTTTCATCCTAATCTAGATAATATACAAGAGTGGATGAACTAACTAGCTAAACTATACTACACTAATCTAATACTAAGAGAATGGAAAAACTACATTTCTGCACTTCCAAGCTTCTCCCGTATATTTCCCCTTTTTAGACCACCCAAAATGTCTCTGCATATAAACTGCTTAAGAGCTCCATTTTTCCAAGTCAAATTCCACATTTTGATTCCCAAATCTCAACTTTGTTAGGATAGTCAATAACAAATGTTTTTGACTTGAAAATAAGCCACCTTGTCTGCCCTTTTGTCTTCTGAAGCATGTGCACCGAATTCTCTTGCAACTTATAGCTGGAAAGTGGTATGAACACAAGAGAATTGACTGAGCAAATTGCAGAATTTCGGCCAGAAAACGCGCCTTTACAAAACGCGTCTACAACTCGCGTTTTGTGCACTCGCGTTTTCACTTTGTCCTTACTTCAACTGCCATTTTCTCCATGATGCAGGCCGAACTGGCTTTTGTGCAAAACACCAAAGTTGTAGATCTTTGAGTTAGCTTTCCAATGCTTCAAGAATCATCCAAATCGGAGCTTTGTAGACTGAGATATGATCAAAATACTAAACACTGGTCGGAACTCTGTTTTCCACTTTGGACAGCTGAGTTGAATTTCGGTATTTCAACTTTTGGACTATGAAAACGGATGAATTGGACTTTGATGTCTTCATACCAAATGTAGATATATCTCTTAGCTTCAAAATGGTACCAAGATCACCTTGATCCGATCATTGTAGCTCCTGATATAGTCAAAATACGAAAATATGTCTGAGTTGTCAAAGCTGACTTTTCTTGATTTTTGTCCTCAAATTGCATTTCTTCCTTTTACACTTCATATTTTATTTTCCTCACTTTAATCCATCTTCAATCATCCAAATATCTTCTCAATGCACTTCATTTGATGATTGAATCATTAAACCTACAAAATATGAAGTTTTTCCCATAAAAATCCATAAAATGCAATATTTAGCCACTTTAACATAAAATGTAGTTTTTTACCAAAACCTTAGTTATTTTAGTTATAAAACTAAATAATCAAACCAAAATTAACTAATAAAACACACTAAAAATACGTAAAATAAACCCTTGTCACTAGGGGTGGGCAAAATTATCCGCTAACCCGAAAACCCGTCATATCCGATCCGATCCAATCCGAAAATTAGGATATCCGATTTTTATTATTTGATCGGGTCAAAAGAGGGTCGGGTACCCGCTAAGATGCGGGGCGGGTTAGGATCACATAATTAAAAACCCGCGGGTACCCGATCCGCCCCGCATATATATTTGTTATTTTATTTTTATTTTTATACACACACTATAAAATAATAAGAACTAAATAAGTAATTTTATTGAATAAATTGTATTACAAATATAAGAGACTATAGTTTATTTACAAGATTCATTTGTAGAGGCCATGATCTTATATTTTATAGAAAAAAGTTTAATTAATGTGGAACATATATATTAAAAAATGTGCTACTTAATTTCAAACTTTTATTGATTTCGAATTCTTTTAATTTTTTTCCTTTATCTTATATTTTCTTCACATGCTTGTTTCTTGGTGGGAAACCTTTTTTTAGAAAAAAAATTTCTTAAATCTTAGATGAATGTGTAAAATATAAAATTAAATTGGTATAAATTATTTTTTTAAAAATTAAATAATAAATGGGGCGGAGCGGGACGGGTACCCGTTGACCCGACCCTATCTCAGCGGATACCCGATTATAGGGTACCCGCTGATATACGGGGCGGGTAAGGGTCAAAAAATGGTTGACCCGCAATGTACGGGTCGGGTCAGCTAAATGGTGAATGGGGCGGGTACCCGACCGCGCCCACCCCTAGATGTACCTAAAGTTATTTGATCAGACTTTTGATACGTTTTATCAAACTTAACACAGTTATATTTGGATTAGAGGAACTAATATCTAACTATGAAAAGGATCAAATATTGGAGAAAAAATTTGAATCAACACCAAAATCCAAACAAAGATAGGAACTCATGACTGGAGAATTGGGGAAGATATTATAGACACCATTAAAAATGATAAAGTCTAAAAATAAAAAAAATCCTCTCAAAGGAAAAGAGAGAAACCATAATCCCATAAAACTTGACTATTGCTTCCACAGATTCTTTTTAAAGATGTTTAGAAAATACTACAAATTTCATGGACGAACCTCCCAAAAGAGATATGGCAAGACATCCCATTTTCTCCTAAATAGAACCCTTTATTTTAGATTGGTATGATAAATTACTACTAGGTAAGGGATAGCTAAGAAGGCTGCGATTCCAATGATCCAATCAAGATAACTTTCATATCAACCCGAATTCAATTAGATTTTGTCCATAATTAGTAGATTATAGTAGACCATAAAGGCAAAAATCGAGATTGCAAAAACTGCTTGCTGGAATTAGAGACAAAGAACCATTGTTTTTTTTCTCTCTTCTTTTTTCCTTTTCTTTTCCTCTATTTTCATTCACTTCTTTTTTTTTCTCATTCGTTCGCAGTCGTCTTCTATTTTCTCTCTATAAAATCTCAAGATTTGCTCGCAAGATCTTATCTTAACTTATAGATAATGGATCCATCTCTATAAAAAAAATTTTTTTTTTACGCGCATTCTACAACATTTTGTGAACCTAATTAATAGTTTTGTTACCTTTACTTGGAATGACTTAAATGTGTCCACTCCAAAATTTTGTTGTAACAAAAAAAGTCATTGGCAATCTCTGTATTCATAGACTCTTTAGAATCTTATTTTTAAAAGTAGTATTGTCTTTATATAATAGCATTAAGTATACAACTAATTTGAAAATTGTTTCTGCAAAGTGAAGACACCTAGGTGCATATCTTTGGCATAAACCTGTATATAGAATACTAAGGTAATACTAGGGTTACAATAAGGGTTTTGTCCGGCCTGCATGGAGGGTCCTCCGTGGCCACCGCCGGCCACAGGGGGCACATCTGGAGGAGCAGCAGCGTCCAAGTCCTTTGCCGACGTGCTTTCGGGTGCATGTCGGTTGGAGCCAACTGTTCCAGATCTGGGGCGTTGTGCGACACATCGAGGAGAACCAGCGCTGCTGTTATCTCAGAATGATCTGCACCTGCTTTCGACACCATTCAGAAATGCATTGGTTGGACGGTTCCCGTTTCGTCGGCCTCCAATGGAGGTCATTCGGGGATTTTTTGTTTCTCTGGGTCTCAAGGGAGATTGTGATGTCGGCCTTCTGGATTTTGAATCACGTTCTGATCAGGCCATCAACGGAGGAGGATTTTACACGGCTGTTCGTGCGCCGTTCTTGGTTCGTGAAGGGCGCACAGATGTTGGTATCAAAATGGACATTGGACTTCAAAGCCCATCAGGATTCGACTTTCGCGCCTGTGTGGGTTTCCATGCCAGCGCTCCTTTGCCGTTATTTAATTCGGTGTATATTGCCAAACTAGCAGGTTTGCTGGGTCGATGTCTGAAGATTGACTCGGCGACAGTGAAGCTCAAACGGCCTTCGGTTGCGAGGGTTCTGATTGAGATGGACGTGTCAAAGCAACCCCCTCATCGCATCTGGATTGGGGAGGACCAGGAGGGGTTCTGGCAGGATGTGGAATATGAATCTTGGCCGAAGTTTTGTGGATTTTGTATTCGTTTTGGACATGACGACGGAGAATGTTTTAGGCAACATCCAGATCTCAAACCTGTAAACAGGATGGTTACGGCGAAAGGAAAGTCCAAGGAGGTTTACTGGCCTAAGGGTATCAGTGGCACCAATGGGCCTGGTTTAGGGCTCCTACAGAGTGGGGAGTGTCATCTGCATCCTGAGGGTGCCGTGGATGCTGGTCAAAGCAGTGAGGGGAAGCTTGTCGTTAATTTTGGCCCTGGGAGGACTGCACACTCTGAACTGGAGGGGATGGAAACTGCAATGCATCGGTCGGCGCCTAACCCAGCGTTGGAACCACAGGATCCGGAGGTGGCCCCTATTTTGGTGGAGCCTACTATTCCGTCGGTAGCTGTTGATGCGCTTGCTGGTGCTGGGTTTGCTGGAATTTTGACAAATTCGGCCGGAGTTGATGCTTCAACTGAGTCACCGTCGAGGGTGACGTCGGAGGAGGTGCATGGCTGGGAGAGGGTGGAGTGCGGGAATAACTTTGCTGTCCTACAATCTCTATCAGATATGGAGTTTCAGGATGTCGAGCGCCTTCCATCCAGTTCGGCGTGTCAGGGTAGGAATGCTAAGCAGAGACATAGACGACAATGTTCTGACGGGGACATACCGGGGAGGCAGTGCCGTGGGAGCAATTAAAACAATTTCAGAGAGTGTTGCATCAAAGGCTGTCCGCGGCTCCGACAACGGAGAGTTTGGAAGGGTTGGAGCGGCCAGTGTCCGCGGAGCGTGGTCCGTTAGGAGCTAGACACAAGGGTGGTCGGCAGGCTAAAGCATTTTCCAATCAGGGTAAGTTTCAATCCCAACCCCAAACTCATTATTCTTTGAGGTCTCATGTTAAATCCCATTAAGTTGGTTGTGTGGAATATTCGTGGGGCTTCACGTAAAGATTCACTGCGATATTTAAATAAGATATGCAAAACTAATAAGATACGGTTGCTGGTTCTCCTGGAACCATTGTCGGATTCCCCACAACTTGAGGTGGTACGTCGGTTTCTTGGGTTTGATAGGGCTTTGGGAGCATTGAATAACAAGGTGTGGGTTTTGTGGTTTAATGAGATGTCATTGAGCTTCAGGGAAATGGCGGACCAACTGCTTCACATGAACATCGCTTTCTCTTCTGGATGTTCGGTGCAGTTCTCGGCAGTCTATGCTCGGTGTTCGAGGGTGGGGCGACGCGAGCTGTGGTCAGCAATGGAAAGTTTAGCGGGCGAAGTGCAGGGGCCTTGGTTACTGGCAGGGGATTTTAATGTAATCTCTTGTAGAGAGGAGCGTGTGGGAGGAGCCCCGGCTAATGAAACAAATATGGTAGAATTCAATGAGTCAATTGGTAATTGTGGTTTGGCAGAGGTCCCTTTTGATGGCGCTGAATTTACATGGACGAATGGGAGGATGTGGCAGCGTTTGGATAGGGCCTTAATGAACCGGGAGTGGGCGGATGGGTATGACCTCTCGCATGTCTCACATTTGGCCAGGGGACGTTCGGATCATGCTCCGCTGCTGATTTGTTGTCAGAATGGGAATCCCAGCAAACGGTCATTCAAATTTCTAAACATTTGGCGGCATCACACAGGTTTCAGGGATGTGGTGCAGAAGAGTTGGGAGAAGCCGGCGGAGGGTGAGGGTATGACGAGGTTTTATAATAAATTACGGGCGGTGAAGGGTGGGCTGCAAGTATGGAACGTCCAGGTTTTCGGAAACATTTTTAGCAAGGTGAAGGAGGCTGAGGCAATTATGAAACAACGTGAGGAGGAGTTTGACAATGGGCGAGGTTCTGTTTCCAGGGCAGCGTTGGAGGAGGCAAAGGCGGTTTATGCAAGGAGCTTGGCAGTGGAATGTGAGTACTGGAGACAGAAGGCGGGCATCAAATGGTTACAGGTTGGGGATGCTAATTCGGCTTATTTCCACTCTCGTTACCGTCAGCGCCGAAATGTCAATTTTGTGGCTCGCATTAAGGATCCGGCAGGCCCATGGTTGGAGGATATTCAGGATATCAGGAGGTCTGCAGTGGAGTTCGTGTCCTCTTTGTTCACTTCGGAACAGCATGGGTGGCAGTCGCCTGACATTCCCTTTACGATGCCTAAGCTGTCTGCTGCGGATAATGATATGCTATCTGCTGTTCCAGGCATGGCTGAGTTACAGGAGGTGGTGCATGGGTTGGATGCTGATAGTGCTCCTGGACCAGATGGGTTTGGGGCAGGTTTTTACCAAGCTTGCTGGGATATTATCAAGGCGGATCTACTGGAGGCGGTTCAGGCTTTTTTCCAGGGTATGCGCTTGCCTAGGAGTTTTACTAGTACTTCTATTCTTCTACTGCCTAAGCTTGCAGGTGCCATGCGCTGGAAGGACTTTCGGCCTATTAGTCTTTGCAACACTTGTTCAAAAATTATCTCTAAGATGGTGGCTAATCGGTTGGGGAGAGTCCTACCTGCCTTAGTTTCACCATGGCAAACAGGTTTTGTACCTGGACGGGGATAACGGACAACATCCTTCTCACGCAGGAGCTGGTGGTTGATTTAGACAGGCGGTTGAGTCACCCGAACCTCATGTTAAAATTGGATATGGAAAAGGCGTATGACAGGGTAGAGTGGCCATTTCTGTTGTTTATACTTCGGCATTTTGGTTTTGCGGAACATGTGGTTGATATAGTCTTTCGTCTGGTGTCCAATAATTGGTTTTCAGTTTTGGTGAATGGTGAGGCTGCTGGATTTTTTAAGTCTTCACAGGGTGTTAGGCAGGGGTACCCGGTCTCCCTGGCCTTTTTGTGTTAGTTGCAGAATTTTTAGGCCGTGGGTTGCATCACCTTTTAGGGAGGCAACCGGGCAGGTATTTTGTTTCAGCCGGGACCCAGGTGCCATACCTAGCCTTCGCGGATGACATGCTTGTCTTTACAAGATGTTCAGAGGAGTGTCTGAACGCAATCAAGGCTTTTTTAGCAGAATATCAAGAGGCATCAGGCTAGAGGGTGAATGTCGACAAGAGTTCATTCTTTTTATCTTCGGGGGCTACTTCGGGGCAGGAGCAGATGGTGACTAGGGTCCTAGGATTTCACAGGCAATTTTTCCCGTTCACTTATCTAGGTGCCCCTATTTATAAGGGGCGGCGGCGTAATGTGCTGTTTGATGGGATTGTGGCTAAAATGCAGGCTCACCTTGGCCATTGGAGTACTAAGCTGCTCTCTTTTGGGGGTAAGCTGGTCTTAGCGAGGCATGTCTTGGCGTCGCTGCCTATGTACTTACTTCAGGTGGTTAATCCTCCAAAGGCGGTGCTGACACGTTTGGGGTCATTTGCAACGCCTTTCTGTGGGATCGAATGGAGAGAGGCGCATACATTGGTCATCCTGCTGGACAAGTTGTGCTTTTCCACTTGAGGAAGGGGGTCTGGGGTTTAGGTCTTTTAAGGACATGGCTAGGGCGTTTGGCGGCTAAACTTTTGGTGGCGTTTCAGGAGTGGAGATTCAAAGTGGGCGCGAGTTCATGCACGCCAAATACAGTAGTGGGAGCCACCATCGGGAAGTTTCATCAGTTCGGCCTTCAGCTACTTGGCGGCGTCTGGAGGCGATACGTACTTTGGTTGAACCGAACATTAAGTGTTTAGGTAAAGGCCTGGTAGATTTTTGGAAGGATAGATGGGTTCTTCATGACCCGTTAGAGGTGGTTGTGGGTCGAGCGGTGAGGCCTCATTTTCTGGTGGCGGAGTTTATTACTGAGGAAGCTGGGATGAAGTTCGTCTTGCCAAGTGGGTTCCGGGTTTCGTCATCCGTGCAATCAAGGACATACCCTTTGAGCTGTCTCAGGAGGACAGGTTGGTTTGGTTGCTTTCGCCTTCGGGACTTTCTCGGTTAAGTCGGCGTGGGAGTTGCTTCGACAACGGAAGCATCACTCCTTGGTCGACTCCTTACTGTGGCCGTCGTTTTGCCAGCAAAAATGTCATTTTTTGCTTGGAGGTTAGTGCGTAATTTCCTCCCTTTGGATGTGGTGTTAAGGTCTCGGGGTTGTCTTTTCCCTCGAGATGTGGGTGTTGTTACCGGAGGAGGAGACGCTCCTTGCATGTTTTTCTGTCGGGCCCGGTAGCTTCGCAAGTTTGGAGGAGAATCTCTTCCCGGTTTGGTTTTCAGTTGCGTAATTGCTCGAGTATGGCGTCGGTTTTTATCTCTTGGTACTTCACTTCAGCTTCAGCGGCGAAAAATCATATTCGGGTTTTTATGCCAATAGTGGTGTGCTGGTTTCTTTGGGTAGCTAGGAACCAGGAGCGCTGTCAGGGAGTGCGGTGGAGGTTGACAAGATAATCCGTGATGTGGATTATTTTTGGGAGCAGCTTGGGAGGGCAAATAAGCTTCGTCGGTCGCATTTCGTGGGGATGTGGATTGTGAGTTGGTACAATGGATCAAGTCTTCCTTCTAGGAGAAGGGCCCCGTGTGCGATTGCCTGGGTCAGACCGCCACTTGGTGTGCTGAAATTTAACTCGGACGCCAGTGTGGTTCAAGGTCGGGCCACGGGTGGAGGTCTGCTGCGTGATGGTCAGGGAAATTGATTTTTGCTTTCTACAAGGAGTTCGGGGAACAGGATGTGTTAGGGGCGGAGTGTATGGCATTACTGTTTGGTCTGCAGTTGTGTTTAAAAAAGGGGATGCGTCCTTCGTTGGTAGAGGTGGACTCCAAGGCTTTGGTACAGTTGGTTGTGTCTGGGGCGATTGCTAAGTGGCCTCTGTGTAACAGCTTGAGGAAAGTTAGAGGTCTCCTGAAGGACTTCTCGGCTTCCATTTCGCAATATTTCCGTGAGGCCAACGTACCTGCAGACAGGTTAGCAGCGGTTGGGGCAACTGGCGCTAAGGTTTATGAGCATGACCCCAGCTGTCGGCGATGGTTAGGGCTGCTATTCTCCTTGACTCACGTGGGGTGCCGGGTGTGCGTTGGATAAATGAAGGAGGTTAGAGTAGTATAATTATTGGAGTCTGTAATAGGGAAGGGTGTTTTCCCATTTCGATCTTTTGCTTTCAATAAAAATTTGGGGCGCTTGTCTTCTTTTAAAAAAAAAAAAAATACAACTAATTTGGACATTTCTTATGCCAAATGGATACTCGTTAAAATATTTTTAGGTGTCATATTTTTATATTCATTAAAATATTTTTTAGGTGTCATTGGTTGAAAATGTAATATTAGTGAGGGATAATAAATAAATACAAGAGATGGTAGATAAAATTAAATATGAAATATATATAGATGCAAGAAAGGATAATAATTGTTAGTATGTGTTTATGCATGATAGATTAGGCAAATTTTAATTATGTTGATGAGAATATTAATGTACATTGTGGATTAACATCATTATGATGATAAATATAAGACATGTGAATTTTAAATTTAACGAGAATTTTAAATGTTTATGCATTTCGAATTACTCACTTAATCCCCATTAATTTGATAAATATTTTACTTGCAGTTTATGATACTAAAGCCAGTGACATGTTAGGTGATGTTAAAAATGATGAAATTATTCTTCTGGATAAAGTTGCAGACACGATATTTTCACTTGAGGAAAATGAGATGCATTCTGTCCAATCCTTTAATTCACCTGTGACGGTAATAGAGGTAAATGAATTTTTTTTATCCAGATTTAGTGATGCAAAAAACAGCGGTTGCATGGTGAAGTCTAATAAAATTAAGACTTATTTTTCAAGAATTGTAGTCTAAATTTATTTTGACAATTTTGTCTGTCAAAATTTTGTCTGTAGCAATAAAGTTATGATGGATTTTCTTTACATTTTAGTTAATGTTGATAATTCAAAATTCTTTCAATTTTGAGAAGAAATTGCAGCATTATTGGTTTGTGAGTGCTTGAAGGTTTTTAATATAACTTGAAATCAAATTTTTTGTTGTTGTGAAGAGGACTGTTGTGGAATGAATTGCGCGTTTCTTTCCTATTTTTTAGGAAATTGAGATTGATATGTGGTTTAGAACTTCTACTTTATAAATAGGGTGCACCTAGGATTTTTTTTAATCAAAATTTTGGCATATTTTATTAAGTTTAATGCGATTATGTTTGGGTTAATTCCTGAACTTGAGTGCACTGAACTGAAGATTCTTTTCAAACTTGTTTTGGATTCCAATATAAATCCAAGTTTCTTTGAAGGATGAACGTGATTCACCCCTTGTTTGTCCGGGTTAATTCATGAAATTAATCCATTAAAAATCATTTTCATCATCGTGTCAAGAGGGGTAACAACAGTGAGAGATTGTGAGTTAGTGATGGTAATGATCAAGAGTAATGGAGGAGGGAATGCGAAATTAGAGAGTGGTTGAATTGTACCAACTAATTTAGTGGTAGGTTGAATGAAAGATAGGCTAGTGCTTGATTTTACCGGATATATTAGGAATCAATTTCTAATTATGAAGAAAACCATATATAGGAGGAAAAAAACCCATTAAAATATTTTTTCAGTATCATATGTTTGAAAACGTAAGATTAGTTAGGAAAAAATAAATACAAGATATAGTATGTAAAATTAAATACGAAAAGTATGTAAACGCAAGGAAATATAATAATTATTTTTATATGTTTATGCATGGTAGATTAGGTAAATTTTAATTGTATTATTGAAAATGTTAATGCACATTGTAGATTAACATTGTTAAGATGCTTATATAGTTGATGTTAATGCACATTGTGGATTTAACATCATTATGATATTAAATACAATGGATGTGAATTTTAAATGTATTAATGAGGATTTTAAGTGTTTATTTATTGTGGATTAGTCACTTAATCCATAATAATTTGTTAAATATTTTTTCTGTAGTTTATGGTGTTACTGCAGGTGACATGCTAGGTGATGTTAAAGAGACTAAAATTATTCCTTCAGAGAAAGTTGTCGACACAATATTTCACTTGAGGAGAACAAGGTGCATTCTGGCAAATCTTTCTTTCTTTTTTTTTTTTTTTTAGAGTCTCTGCGTGTCTGTTTCAAAAAGATACCTGCTCCAAATCTCAAAATTCTTGGAAGATTAAGCTGAAGAAGCCTAGCATGCAGACAATGATGATCAAAATAAAATTGGTAAGACGGAAATTGGTAAGGGTGCATTTATAACTGTATGGGTCACTAGCTATAAACAGTTAGCCTATGCAGCTAGTACAAAATGGAAGCCTCAAGCAGCTAGTGTTTGCTGTGTTTGACCGTCGAATCTACGCAGCACTTCCCTTGCCCTTGCACTCCTGTGTTGAAGGCGTTGGTGAAGCGTCTCTGACATCTGGTGGAAAAAATCTGCATCCCACCTGTGTATCAACAACGGATCTTCAAGATCATTCCTATTAACATGGCTGTAGATCCCACCATTATCACCCTGTCTGGATGGTGAATCCTTGTCCAAACTCCGGAACAAGTTCCAACCACGAGCCCACCCAAGACAGTGCCCATTAGTAGAACAGCACCAGAACAATCGTAGGCAACAAGTGCTTCGACACCTGTTGATTGAAATAACTCCCAGGCATCTCTAGCTGAGTGATTGAAGTTTTTACCATAAACTGCAATCTGGACATAAGCATACGTGTTGAAAAATCGAACTAAAGTCTCCACCAAATGAAACAGGAAATCCACAAGGCAGAGTAAACACTCGTTATTTCCAATCTTTGACCTGATTCCCCTAATCTCCCAGCGCAATGTCCGAATAGCAGCTGTAAACAGTGATCCATAGCAAATGCTGCCAAAAGATTTTGTCATAGCAAACTGCAACGAATTCACAAGTGGCGTGGAAGGCATTGATTCTACATCTCGACCACCATGAATAAGAACAAGAAAAACCATTCCTGATACTATAACATGAACGATGTTACAAAGAACCGCTCCAGTCCAGAACAAACTGATAGAGAAAACCAAAAGAAGCCACCAGCGCCCACTGTCACCTAAGCTTAAAGCTACAACACCAGCTACTCCAAAGGACCACAGTGCCAACCAAAGAAGCATAACTAGCATAAACCCACATGAAACCCCCATAACTTCAGGTAGACTCCATACCGTCTTGACAGCTCTTCGTAAAACAAGCATGGTAAATGGAAGTCGGCGGAGGGACGGGGAGGGTGCCGGAGGAGTCGGAGGAAGAAGATGTGGAAGTTCGGGAGTCAGTCATAGTGAGTGAAAGATGTTAATGCTACGAGATCAATCAACCAATCAATCTTGACTAAACAGTGACGGCGGCGGTGACTTTGATTGACCGGCGAGAAATAATTAGTCACTATTACTACTAACTTTGATCAACAGCAGCAGAAGCAGCCGCCATGGGATTCATTGATCAAGAGTTTTGCAGACGGCTTTTTGGGAAATCGGCGGCTTTTTTTCATGGATGAATAAATAATGAAAATGGGGAGAAGTAAGAGAGCAAATCTTTCGATTTGTCTATAAACGTGCTAGTAATAGTAGGAAATGAATATTTTCTTTATCCAAAGTTGGTGATGCTAAAAGCAGCAATTGTCATAGTGAAGCCTAATAAAGTGGAGACTTTTATTATTTGAGAACTGCAATCTAAATTTATCTTGACAAAAAAGATGGCATGATCATCACTTTTGAAATTTTGTCTGAATTCATGACAGTAAAGTTATGGGTTTTCTTTGCCTTCTAGTTCATGTTGATAGATTAAAAACTCTTTCAACTTTGAGAAAAGAGTTGTTGGGATTATGGTTTGTGTGTGTTTGAAGATTTTTAGAATTATTCGAGGTCGATTTTTTTTATATGGAGGGGACTGCTTGAAGGTTTTTTAGAATTACTCGAGGTCAAATTTTTTTAAATATGGAGGGGACTGATGTGTTGGGAGTTTTGTGTTATAGTTCTAAGGTCCTTTCCATTTTTGAGAAGAAATTGTGAGGTCGCTGGTTGGTTGTTTCTTGAAGTTTTTCAAGAAAACTCGAGGTCAAATTCTTTCAAACTAGATGGGGACTGATGTGGAACGAGTTACATGTTTCTTTCCTATTTTTTTATATAAACCCGTTTCCTATTTAATTTAGAACTTTTATTATATAAATAGAAACGTAGGCTGAATGAGAGGTAGATCAATACTAGGTTTTACCTAATGAATTAGGAAATAATTTCGAACTATGTAGAGAGTAGTAGATACGAGAAAAAACTCCAAACAGTCCCAAAATTCAAACAAAGATAGAAAATCACGACTGAAGAACTCAAGAAGATATTATAGACACCATTAAAAATGACAAAGTCGAAAATATCAGAGAACGTCCTCCCAAATGGAATGAGAGAAATGAAAAATCCATAAAATATGACTATTGCTTCCACGGATTCTTTCCACAGATACTTAGAAAAGATGATAAATCTCATGGGAGAAGCATCCAAGAGAGAGAGGGCAAGATAGCCCATTTTCTTCCCAACAGAATGTCTTATTTTAAATTGCCATGATAAGTCATCACTATGTAAGAGATAGTCAAGGAGACTGAGATGCCAATAACTTCAATAAGATAACTTTCATGTCAACTGTATTCGACTAAATTTTGTCCATGATTAATAAATAACAAAAATACTATAGAGGCAAAAGTAGAGATTGCAAAGATTACTTGTAAGAATTGGAGAGAAAAAGCCAATGATTTTTTTTACTCTCTTATTTTTCTTTTTCTTTTTCTTTCTCTCTATCTTCTATCATTTTTTTCATTTTTTACCTTCTTTTTCTCTCATTTCTTCCTGGTTATCTTATATTTTCTCTCTTTAAAATTCTAAGGTTTGCTCACGGGATCTCATCATGACCTATATATAATGGATTTAAAATTTTAAGGTTTGCTCACAGGATCTCATCCTCATCCATATATAATGGATCTGTCCCTACAAAAATCTTTTTTTTTTTTGTGTGTATGCATATTCTACAAAATCGTGAACATTTGATACACCAATTAAATGATTAACATTAAGCCTTCCTTCCCTGTCCACTTACTTAATCCCAAACAACTTTGACCTATATAAAATAGGTCTAATTGTTGACATTGATTACTACTAATGTATGATCTCTTACACAAATCTAGTCAATAGTTTGGCTGTTATTATTTGGAATGGCTTAAGTATGGCCATTCCAAAATCTTGTTGAAACAAAAAAAAGTAATTTGCAATCTCTCTGCTTATAGACTCTTTAGAATCTTATCTTTATAAGTGATATTATCTTTGTATAGTGGCATTAAATATGTGATCAATTTGAACTTTACTCATATCCAATGGAAACTCGTGAAGATATTTTTTGGGTGTCATATTTTTGTACCCAATGGGCACTCAATAAGATATTTTAGGTGTCATATGTTTGGCAACATAAGATTATTTAAGAAAAGTAAATAAATACAAGAGTAAAATTAAATAGAAAAAGTATACAAATGTAACAAAGGGTAATAATTGTTAGCATGTGTTTATGCATGATAGGTTAGATGAATTTTAAATATATTAATAAGAATGTTAATGCACATTGTGAATTAACGTCACAAAGATGTTAAATCAGATGATGTTAATGCACATTATGGATTAAAATCATTCTGATGTTAAATACAAGAGAGGTGAATTTTAAGTGAGTTAATAAGTATTTGAAGTGTTTATACATTGTGGATTATTCACTTAATCTGCTATAATTTATTAAATATTTTGATTACAATTTATGATATTATTGCATGTGAAATGTTAGGTAATGCTAGAGAGGATGAAATTATTCCTCCAAATAAAGTTGCAGACACGAAATTTTCATTTGAGGAGAACAAGATGCATTCTAGCAAATCTTCCAATTCATCTATAGAGTAGTTGGTAACAACAAGAAGTGAATATTTTCTTTATCCAATCGTGGTGATGCTAAAAGTAGCGGTTGTCAAAGTAAAACCTGATAAAGTGGAGATTTTTATTATTTGAGAACTGCAGTCTAAATTTATCTGGACAATAAGTATGGTATGGTCATTGCTTTTGAATTTTTGTTTGGATTCGTGACAATAAAGTTATGGGTCTTCTTTACATTTTATTTCATATTGATAGTTCAAAGACTCTTTCAACTTTGAAGAAGAATTGTAGGGTTACTGGTTTGTGGTACTTGCAAATTTTTAAGATAACTCAAGGTCGAGTTCTTTTGATGTGAAGGGAACTAATGTGGAACGAGTTGCATATTTTTTCCTAGTTTTTAGACAATTTTGTTTTTTATTTGGTTTAGAACTTCGAGTTTATAAATAAGGACATACCTCAGGTTATTTTATCAGGCTTCTAGCATATTTTATCAAATATAACAAGGTTGTATTTGAATTAATTTTTGATATTGAATACACTCAAGTGAAGATTCTTATTTTGACTTCTAATTTGAATTGAATTTTTTTTAGGGTTGAACGTGATTCACCCCTTGCTTGTTTGTTCGGGTTGATTTGTGAAATTAATTTGTTGAAAATCGCTTACGTCGTTTTGTTTAAAGGGATAACAATAGTGAAAACTTATAGGTTAGCGGTGGTAATGATCAAGGGCAATAGAGGAGAAATGGAAGTAAGTTGTGGCTGAGTAATACTAGTAGGTGGGGTGGTAAGTTGATTGAAAGATAAGCAAGTGCTAAGTTTTACCTGATGAGTCGGGAATCAATTACTAATCATGAAAAAGGTCATAAATAAGAGGAAAAAAACTCCAAAACCCAAGTAAAGGTAGAACATCATGAATGGAGAACTCAAAAAGATGTTGTAGACACCATAAAAATGGGAACGTCTAAAATATCAGAAAATGTCCTCTCAAAGAGTAAGAGAGAAACAACAAACTCATAAATCATGAATATTGATTCCACAGATTCATTCCAAAAATGTATAGGAAAGATGGCAAATCCCATGGGGGAACCTCCCAAGAGAAATAGGGTAAGATAGCTCATTTTTTTTCTGAAGCGAGTGCTTTGTTTTAGATTGATATGATAAATCATTACTACGTAAGGAATAGCTAAGGAGGCTGCGATTCTAATGACCCCAATAAGATAACTTTCATACCAATCGAATTTAACTGGGGTTTATCCATGATTAATTTATTAGAGAAGCATCACAAGGGCAAAAATGGAGATTACAAAGATTGCTTGTCAGAATTAGAGGAAAGAGCCATTGATTTTTTTTCCTCTCTTCTTTTTTCTTTTCTTTCTCTCTATCTTCTCGCATTTTTTTTTCCTTTTCTCGCTTTTCTTTCTCTCACTACTTCCCAATTGTTTTCTTTTTTTTTTTCTTTAGAACACTAAGTTCTGCTCGTGGGATCTCATCCTAATCTATATATAATGAATCTGTCTCCATAAAAATATTTTTTTTGTGTATGTGTATCCTACAAGATCGATGATATCTGATTAGAGGTGGCAAAATGGGCGGGATGGGCGGGATTTGCTTGGGTTTGTGATGGAACCGAGTCATATGGGTTTGGGCCCAACCTTACCCATATGTGGTTTGGGACTAACTTGGGCGGGATCACTTTGGGATGGGTTTAGATTGATCCCGCCCAATACCCAAATCTATTTTCTACATATTTTTTTCCTTTAATTCATTTTTATTTTTTATATTTTAATATTTTTGATTTATTAATTTTTTTTTAGTTTTATTAAATAAACATGCAAGTGCTTTATACTCAAGATTCCCATCAAAAATTGGATTAACAAATAAAAGAAAAAATAGATATACAGTCATATTCCAATATATATCAAGATGGCCAAGGTACTTAAGGTGTTGAATATTTATTCTCATCATTGTCCAAAGATGACAGGTCTAAATTGACTGAAATGTTGAAAATTCTTGTGGATAATGACTAGGAAAACTACTAGATTATATTCTCTAGTATGACTATAAAAATTATTAAAGATAATTTTTGAATCTAAGACTCCGTTTGGATTGGCTATTTTTTCAAAAAATAAGTTTTTCAAATACAATGTTACAGTAATATACAATAACTCAAAAACATCCCATTCATATTAGTATATCAAATATTTCAAAAAAATTTTATAGTAAAAATTTTTCATATACACTGCTATAATAAAATATTTCAAAAATACTCCCCAAAAATAACTAAACCAAACAGAGCCCTTGTTATTTGAGCCCAATGGGTGCCCAAGTATTTCCCATGTATTCCCATCAATTAATGGGTACAATTGGGATTTGTCCCATTTTAAACCCAATATCAAAATCCAATACCCATCCGCCCAAAATCCCCATGGGGCATGGTAACCCATTGGGACTTGGGACAAATTGCCACCTCTATATCTGATGCCACCAATTTGTTAAATATTTTACCTACAGTTTATGATGTTAATGCAAGTAGCAT